TCTCTTTCTCCCCTCTCTTTCTCCCCATCTCTTTCTTGCCCCCCCTTTCTCCCCTCCCCATCTCTCTGTTCCCCCCTCTTTCTCCCCCTTTCCCATCTCTATGTCCCCCCTCCCCATCTCTCCCCTCTCTTTCTCCCCCCTCCCCTCCCCATCTCTCCCCTCTCTTTCTCCCCCCTCCCCTCCCCATCTCTCCCCCCTCTTACTAGTCAGAGGGGGCCGGCCGTTTCATTTCTAGAGCCGCCGGACCGGGTGGCAGCCTCGCCGGTCCGGCGGCATTCCTCTCAATAACACTGAAGAAGGAGGAGGAGGAGGAGCATGTGTCTGTCATGCTCCTTTGCGGTTCCCACATCCTGTGCTGGGAATTGTGGGAACCGCAGGGAGCATGACAGACACATGCTCCTCCTCCTCCTTCCTCTTCAGTGTTAGTGAGCGGAATGCCGCCGGACCGGCGAGGCTGCCACCCGGTCCGGCGGCTCTAACATGAAACGGCCGCTCCCCCCTCACAGTGTGCCACCGGACTGGCCACCCGGTGGCACCTGCAGTCCCCCCCCAATCCAGCCCTGCCGCCGGGCCCCCTGAAGGCGGCCTGGCGGCGGGCCCCCCTCCCGGCCGGGCCCTCGGACCGTGTCCGAAGTGCCCGACCGGTCAGTCCGCCCCTGCTCTCGTCGGATTGTTTTTGCAGCCTGCACACTTTTGACATCTCGTAAAGCCTTTCAAATTCTCTTGTTCTTCTCTGGTCCTCTCTGATCTAATAGTGGGGGCTAGCATTAACTTGAGATTGGGTGCCCGTGTGTAGATGATTTGTGGTTTCTCCTCAATAAGTTGTGCAACAGATGGATCACTTCTTAGGATTCCCCAGTGTCTCTTAAGTATTCTCTGTATAGTCTGTGACTGGGTGTTGTATTGTGTGTAACGGATCACCTGGTACCCCGACTGGGTACCTCCATTGAAGGATGCTCCTAGCGCTTCCTGAGGACTCCAAGCACTGCAGCAGACACTGTAGCGGATGGCACCAGGCGACCCTACAAAAATACTGTATAAAGCTGCATCCGTGTATCTGCTGTATTTTCTGTGTATTTAAAAAGAATTGTATTCCTCTGATTGTTCGGTAGTTTCATTCCCTTAGTTTATTCGAATGAAACTACCGAACAACCAGACCTCCCTGTGTGAAGTGTGTCCTCAATTACCCGTTGCAACATTGTTGCGAGCGGGTAATTGAACAGTAAGTAGCCGTCCTTTGTTCTCGGGGGTGGCCGCCATTCGACAAACGAACACGTGGCGGCGGCCATTTTAAAACTCCCGAACAGCGGTGTTTTGCCGTCCAGTGCCTGGAACTAAAATCGGACACTCGAGTAGGCGAACACCGCTGAGACCTCCACAGCCCTGGTCCGTTCGGTTCCAAACTACCGAACGGCCCCTCGTTCGGTAAATAGAAAATACCGAACGAGGGGATTCAGGCGCACCCTCCCTAGCCTCTATAGCTAGAGGCTTTCGTGTATTTTATTCCCTTATGCCAGGACCGACCGCAAGGCCCATTCACATGGAACCGAATTCGGCTATTTCGGTTCGTGCGGTCGGTCATTTTATTCCCTCCATACTTTTCCCGAACCCCTGGTCTGATCTGGGGGATTTTTGGATATGTTGTTCACCCAGATCAGGGCTACCAGGGGATGTAGATTTAAAGGGTACCCTACGTTTAGGGGTACATCCAGAAACGGGGGGAATTGGTGTGCTGGATAAGGGGATTATGATGCTGGCTGAGGGGAGGAGATGTGTGGGAGGTTACCAGGACAGGATTGGCTACTGTAATAATTACTGTAAGTCCCTCCCTTGCATGGGAGCATGCTTTATAAGGAGACTGTGATTAAAGGCTTGTCAGTTATGCTCCTGAAACTGTGTGTCGTCCAGTTATTGGGATTGCTGTTGGGATATTGCTGTATTTTACCTGCTGGAAACCCTGCCTTTGGATTTACTATTTACTTGTTCCTGAGTCTCACTTGGATTATAAGCGGAGATAACCTGGGTAATATTGCATCTCCGCTACAGACACCACAACCACCGAACCAGAGAAACATACGAATGCTCTCAAGCATATGAATGCTGTAAGCAGCTGAACAGGAAAAGCATACAATCAGCTTACACTCCTGGCAATCAGCATACAATCCAATTCCCCCAATAACGAGACGACACTTCGTTTTGAGGTTAAGCAGAACTGACTGTACTGGCACATACAGCCTCTTTTATTCACAATCCACAAACATAGTACTGCCCACAGGGTTTTGAAATACAATCAATCTGTATAATACACACAGACACTCCCACACAAAATCCTCCCCTCTGCCTGTGATATGATTACCGAGCACAATGGTTAATATAATTATCACAGGCAGAGAAATACAGTATTATAAAACATATCACAGGGACCCCAGAACATGCAATAACCCCATAAAAATATAGTATATTCTGGGGAATCTGGGTGAACCACATATCCAAAATTCACCCAGATCCGTTCAGTAGTTTGGAAGATACCGTTTAATGCAGATTCCGCAGAACATATACAGGCTAAATGAAAAATAATCACTGTATAATGTGTCCCCTGTTGTATAGTTCAAAACCACTGCACGATGTCTCTGTGCACCAAATACCGGCGAGATGCCACCGCGTTGAAAAGTCCAAACAGTGTCTGTGAGTTAAAATGGCTGCCATCCATTGTTCTCACCATGTGCTTCATCCATTGTTCTCACCATGTGCCTCTGATACATGAAATGGTGGCCACCCAGTAACTCCACAGTTTGTTTGGTAGTCTATCCATCCGGACCAACAGATGAAACAGATGGGGAACAGTGCAACAAACGAAGGGAATCATAAAAAATATGGACAATATTCCAGTAGTTGTCATATTTGTGCGCAATCTCCAGGTTTGTCACAGGGCACAAATAGTGTTTTCAAATGCCATATATCCCAGGGCCATAGTCAGAAGGTAGGAGGCGGGCAAGCAGCCCCCTCCAAGAACACGTGGCGAGGTCTGTTCCGCCATATTGTGCAATAAAGGCTGGAGTCTTTTTGGATATCTGTGTTGATTTAATATTATTCTGTAGGGTATCTTCTCGTGTGATAGTTAATGTTTTCTCAAGAGCTTCTCCCAAGAGTGTAGTGGGATATCCTTTTATGATGAATCTCTTCTTCATCTCTTCCATCTGTATTCTACACATATCGGTTTTTGAACAATTTCTTCTAATTCATCTGAATTGATTTTGAGGGATGTTTTTTAACCATACAGGTCTGTGGTGGCTGCTGAAAGGAATGAGACTGTTGCAGTCCACATTCTTCTTGAATGTCTTTTCTTTCTATATATATGTTGAGATCTAAGAACTCTATTGTAGCGGAGATGCAATATTACCCAGGTTATCTCCGCTTATAATCCAAGTGAGACTCAGGAACAAGTAAATAGTAAATCCAAAGGCAGGGTTTCCAGCAGGTAAAATACAGCAATATCCCAACAGCAATCCCAATAACTGGACGACACACAGTTTCAGGAGCATAACTGACAAGCCTTTAATCACAGTCTCCTTATAAAGCATGCTCCCATGCAAGGGAGGGATTTACAGTAATTATTACAGTAGCCAATCCTGTCCTGGTAACCTCCCACACATCCCTCCCCTCAGCCAGCATCATAATCCCCTTATCCAGCACACCAATTCCCCCCGTTTCTGGATGTACCCCTAAACGTAGGGGTACCCCTTTAAATCATACATCCCCTGGTAGCCCTGATCTGGGTGAACAACATATCCAAAAATCACCCAGATCGACCAGGGGTTCGGGAAAAGTATGGAGGGAATAAAATGACCGACCGCACGAACAGAGATAGCCGAATTCGGTTCCATGTGAATGGGCCTTGCGGTCGGTCCTGGCATAAGGGAATAAAATACACGAAAGCCTCTAGCTATAGAGGCTAGGGAGGGTTCGCCTGAATCCCCTCGTTTGGTATTCTCTATTTACCGAACGAGGGGCCGTTCGGTAGTTTGGAAC